AATTGCTTGGTTGCATAAAACTATGAGTATAGGGCAACCGCACTGAATACTGGCACTGTTTTCCATCTATCTCACTTCTGAAGGTAACAAAGGCACAGAGAGCACAGCTGCTCCTAGCGTCCCAAAGCTGTGCGAGCCTGTATGCTGCTAGCCTGTGTACTGCAATAGTGCCTGCCAAAGTTACCACGGAGTGGCATGGGAAAGTGTCCTACCACGGAGGAAGAAATAAGACCGCCATTCCTAGAAACCTTCAGGAGAGGACTGCACAGTATCTCCATGGAAGTTTCATACAGATTTTTCAAGAGAATTCAAAGGACATGCCTCTGTACATAAACAAACTGCTCTGCATGCCATACATCCCCACACACCCCACACCCTGGCAGGACAATGAAAAGCAGATAACAACTCTACCTCTGTTTATTGTACCGCTACCTCTTCTAGCACAAATAAACTAATGAAAAGTCGAAAGCCATGTCCTGTTAAATTGGGGGTGCCATCACTGTAATGGGAAATACATTTACACACTTACACAAGGATCCTTTCCCTGCATCAGGCTCACCCATGCTCGACTGACTGGACTGCTGTGGCGTCTCAAACAGATCCTGGCTTGCAGTATAACTAGACCCCTGGTCACATGTCTCCTATCTTCCTCCTTGTCATCTTCCACATTCTTCTCACCCTTGCTGCTCCTGCCAGAACCTGTAACTCAGGCTCCTCCGAAGTGTCCACAGTGGTTTGCAGGATGATGGTGGGGATTCTGCCAAGTAAGCAGCTCTTTGTAAAAGTGGCAGGTGTGCAGCTTAGCACCAGCTTGACTGTTTGCCTCCCCGGTCTTCTGATAGGCCTGCTGCAGTTCCTTTGCTTTCACGTGCCGCTGCTGGTCTCTGCTGTACCCCTTCTCCTCCATCCCCCAGGCAATATACTCATAGATGTCCACATGTCAATGGCTGATATGTAACTCTGCTTGCTCAGTCTCTTCTCCCCACAGACCAAGGAGATGCAATATCTCCTTTCTACCCCTGGCCACAGCACAATTGGAGCATGTATTGGCATGGTTAGCTGGGCATTTGTATGCATCAATGGAGAGCTGCTAGGTGTGCTCGCCAAGCTGGACAATCAGGAAAAGGCATTTCAGAAATGTCTGGGACTTTAAAAGGGACAGGGGCTTTCTGATCTACATGACCCCTGGGCAATGAAGTTCACAGTTGTGACCACAGCAGTCAGTGTGGGGCATTGTGGGACAGATGCTGGGACTACTGGGGTTACTATAAGTAACTCATGCTGCGTTGACCTCAGTACATCGACCATGGCTCAAGCCTCACTCAGGGAGGTGCTGTTACTGCATCGCTGTAACGGTGCGCTTATATCAGTGGGAGGCAAATTTAAGTGTAGATACCCACACAACTAAGTTGGTGCAAGGAAGCTTACATTGACCTAACTTTGTAGTGTTGATCAGCCCTAAGCAATGGTCCCACCAGATCACTGTTGAGGGGCATTAGCAGGAGTAGTGTGAGAGAAGCTGGCCCTGCCCTGCCTGTGCCATACCTGTACTGTAAGCTAACAAAATTTTGGAGTCTGGGATTGTGAATCCTGCACCTTTCATAAGTGCTAGGAAATAGTTTTAAAAGATGCTAAGGCAGATTTGTGGTGTCCGTGCTCCGATTATCTCTGCATGAAATTTCCCTCAAGATTTTGTACTGTTTCTTTATCTGCTTCCAGCAGGGGGAGATGGGTCCAGAGAGCATTTCTACTGGGAAAACAAAAGGACTGTGATATATTTTAATCGTGAGGCTCTCTCTGAGATTTTATGTATGGTTCCAGGTTGTTTGGTTGTTTCTGTCCCTCTCTCTTGCATCCATTTACCTATAATAATAAATAAAACTGACCAGCCTTGAGGGATTACATGTTTCAGAGTTTGAGACCCTGGAGTGAATTTCTTCCCCATCCCACATTTTATGATGATGATTATTAAATAGTTACATGATGGTACTGCCCAGAGGCCTCAGTCAGGACTGGGATGCTTGTGCTAGGCACTATATAAATACATGAGAAGATGAGAGTTCCCAGTCACTCTTTCCCTTGCAGTTTCATCTCGGGGGAACTGGTCTCTCCCTGCAGCCTTCCTCCATTATTGCCAATGCAGTTCCATCTCTGGGGGAAGGTTGGGGGTTGCAAGGGGATTTGACTTCCACTCTCAGAGTCCCTGAGGTGACCAGAACCTTTTGGATGGTCTTGGTTCTCTCTCTGTCCCTGGTGGGGGGCCCTCTCTCCTCAATTTTTAACTGTATGGGTATTTGAGGTGTCACATGAACCCTGGGAATGATTTATTTCCTTCGCTCTTACTGATGCCCCCTCCATCATTCTCTCTATAAACCATATTGATGCCACTCTCCACGAAGTGCACCCTAAATATATTTAACTAAGCATTAAATTTAGATTTAATGGGATAGATATTTTCATCTAGGTAAATACTCAGAGAAAAGGAAATATTTAGTGAGCTTTAGCATTCTGTGGCAGATGCTCCTCACATTACATAATTGTTAATCTTCAGCAAATATGTTTTCCTTACTCCACTGGCATTTAATTGACATACAATAGTGCTTATTAAATGTAAATGAAATGCATATGGGAGACCCTGTAAAAATAAGGTTGTATATCACACTCCTGGCTGTTTGGCACGAAGCGATGAATTCCACTATAGTCAACTTCATTACTGTGCCAGCTCTCACTGCAACAGTGAGCATCCTCACAACCATGCCCCGGTCAATGCCAGCTGGGTAAGCTTCCTCCCGGCAGTGCTCTGCCCATGCCAGCTTGGACACCAGCAGCATGAGCTGCCTCGCAACAGTGCCTTAGGGGTAGCAGCCTCTGAATTGAAGCTTTCTGGGGAGTTCTTTTTCAGCACCATCGGGGTCTTTTTCAGGACTAGGGTAAGGTTTGATGAGACCCCAATGGTCTAGCCCTTCTCCCCGCAGTGCCCTGGTAGAGCCAGCCCCTTGCTGCAGCAGCTTGAGATCATTAGTTCTCATTGTATTGGCTTAACCCTTTGGTTTCTGGTAGCTTCCCCTTGTTGGTCCCATTGCCCTTAAGTTCCCCCAGAGGAGTTCTCAGTCTCTCTCATCTCCTTGCTTGACTACAAAGAGCTAGTCTCTTCTGCTGCTGCTGTCGAAGCTGTATCCGCTGTGAGGGGCCCAGGCCCTTATTTCCTAGTGCCAGGAAAGTTAGGCCTGGTCTTCAGCACACATGGGGATTGTTTAAATACTTATAGGCAACCTTCCGCACAAAGGGGACAAGGGGCTGCTGACACCCCCCACCCCCCACTTTGGGTCCCCCTTGTCCTCTCTAACTATCCAGAAGTTTGACTCTTGGGAACAGAAAACATACAGGGGGCCAATTACTGCCCCTCCCTTGGCAATGGGACTGAATGGGGCAACAACTGACAGCCAGGCTGCTCTTCAGACCCTTTGGTTACCTGCTCTCCTCTTGTCACCCCTTCTGTCTTCACCCTTTATTGCTGCTGCCCCCAGCCCCAGTGCATTAGCCCCTGATCATGTTACGTGTGCAGCGGCACTGGCCAGCCATCCCCAGGAGCAGCTCTTTCCATCCCTCCTCTGTGCAGGGAGGAAGGCAGGCATCAGCAGTAAAACATACGGCTATTCCTCTCCATTAATTTAATCTCCCGTCTCTTGTGATGGTGATAGTATGTGAGCTAAGGGAGTGTTCCCCGGGGTCGGCAAAGCTGCTGCAGGGATCAGGGCTCAGCTGCCAGTGCTGACATTCGGGGAGGACAGACTGAGTATTCACACTGCAGGCAACTCAATACGAGCATTGTCTCCAGTTCATCCCTCAAAGGCCGGGGTGGGGGACTGGACTGTTTATCTGGTGCAGGAAAGAGCAAGAGGGAAAAAACAAGATTTAGCCTGAAAAGTTAGTTGCCAAGAATGTTCCTCTTTAAATCAACTAGCTTCTGATTTCAGGCCACACTGCCAAGTTCTTCTCCCCCTTTCTAGCCTTCTTCTTAATATTCCCTGTATCTTCCTCCCTTCCTTTCCTCTCTGCCCCCTTTCCAGCATCTCTCTCGCTCTGTCTTCCTTTTTCAGCTCCCTGTTTTCCTTCCCCTTTTTCAGACTCCCTGCCCTCTTCCTCTCTCGTCCCTCTGTTCGACTCCTTTCTTCCCCTCATCTCCCCTTTCCCACTTCCCCCTGCTCCCTTTCTCATCCCCCCACTTCCCATCCTTACTGCCTTCTTTCTCTTTATCCATATTTCTCCAGCCTCCTCCCCATCCTCCTTTTTCCAATGCCCTCCACCCTCCCTCTCATCTTTCCTTTCCAGTCTCCTCCTCTTCCCTTTTTCCCTTTCTCATCCCCCTTTTTTCCAGCCCCCTCTGTCCCCCACTCCTGCCCAGTCCCATATTTCCCTAACTTAGGTCTCTTTCTAAGCTCCCAAGTCCCTGTTCTGAAGGAATCGGCCAGGCCTCAGATGGAGCTGTTGTCGTGACAACCTAAAGGAGCATCAGGCTTTGATCAGGGCTGGCTTCTGCTGAAGGGGGCAGTTGTGCGAAGAGGCGGGGGATGGATGGGGTGTGTGTGCTGGGGTGGGAGGGGGGGGAAGCGGTGGGTGGGTTACACAGAGCAAGGAAGACAGGAGATGCTGCTGTTCAGGGCTTCGCCCCCCCACCCTGCTCCTACTGTAGTGCTGAGCTTCTGTTTCACTAGTAAGGCTCCCTCCCTCCCTCCCCTCTTTGCCTCACTCTGCCTGGGAAAGTGGGTTAGGAAGGGAGCTCAGTGCTCAGAGACTGCACAGCCACTCACAGGAGCAGGAGCATCCATACGCAGGGGGGAAGCACACAGGACTCTTCTTTTTCATTTTCCTTTTTTAACCATCACTCCAGATAGGCTTAATTATTTTTATACATCTGTTTTTTTTTCTCTTGCTTCGTTTTGATCTCTTCCCCAAGCCCCCCCCCCCCCCCACTGCTTCTTTTTTGTTGGAGTCTTTTGCTCAGACTTTTTGGAGAATTTTTTTTTTAGCTAAGCCAGCACAAGACTGAAAAGACCGAGAGAAAGTGGCAGCTAAGAGAGACGGCAAAATCACCTCTTCCTGGGGTTCTCCGGCAGAGACAGAGTTGCACATTATTTTTACTGTGTTTTCACATACAGCTCTCTAGCTAGCCATATACACGTGCAGAGAGAGAGAAGTACATACATTGAAACTCAAGCAGCCCAGCCATGGGAGGAAGGGCTCAGCCTGATCGGAAACAATTACCGTTGGTCCTACTGAGATTGCTTTGCCTTCTCCCTACAGGGCTGCCAGTCCGCAGCTTGGATTTTACCCGAGGCACCGATAACATCACCGTGAGGCAGGGTGATACGGCCATCCTCAGGTAGGGCATTTTGCCAACTTTTTCTTGTGTGTGTTGTTTTACCCCCTGAACTGCAGTAGTGATTGCTGCTAGAATCGGGGCTGTGTGCATGTGTATTTCTGTACCTTAATGTCACCCCAAAGCTTCTGAACACCCCCCCCCACCTTCTGGAGAAGAAGGATTTTATTGGGAAAAGGGAAATGTGCTCATGCACATGTGTGTTTCACTGGCCCCGCAGTATCAATGGATAAATTGAAAGGGGTCCAGCTGTGCTTGCCAGATGTTCAACTGCTCTCTCGATACTCCATTTTACTCCTATGCAAAACTTTATCCACTGTGTTGCCAGAACTCTGATATGAGATCCTTTTGGAAGGTATGACTTTTATTTGTTTAATACATTGGGGTGTCTCATTTTAAGGGCTGGTGAAGTAAAGAGGTACCAACTCTGAGATCTGTCTGAGTTATGTCTCTGGTCACTGTATTGACTTCCTTTGATAGCTGAAGAAATGGGTCTATACTGTATATACATGTACTAATGGTTCTCATGGGGGTATTGTTGCATGGGAAGGATGATTCTCTAGTATTGTGCAGAGCTAAGATTAACTGCTCCCCGTGGAGGCTTTGTAAGGGTCATTCCCAGGCTATCTGGGCTTTGAACAAACCAATGTCCCACCTAACTAAAATAAAATAAACTATCTCCCACAAGCTCCTTTTCAAATCCTACTTTTACCCAACTTACCTACTGTAACTTCCCCTACTGGACGAAGTATGTGTTTGTGTGTGTGCGTGCACATGCATGCATGCATGCATGCACTGTATATTATGGCAGTAAAAGTACTGGACACCATCTAAAATAAGCCTGTAATCTCTGTGAGTAGCTGATAGTGCACAAACCCTGGAGCATCTAGGGAGCAATTCCCTAGCAAAGCTAACTGCAGCAGCAAAGTTTTCTTTCTCTTCCTCTGAAATAAATCCTGCTAGATGTCACTAAGTGTCCTGCTACATGATCTGCCGTGCCCTGCATCTCTCCCTTTAGTGATGGAGGAGTATGTGTGTAGGGAAGATGTTAGGAAATAGGGGGGCGTATGTGTGTGTTCATTCCTTCCTTCTCTCATTGCTTGTGTGTTGGGTTGTTTTGATCCTGGAATATCCTTTCAGCAGATTTCATTCCCTGGCTCTCCAGACTTGTTAACTTGCATGTAAGGTTTATCCACATGGAGTAATAGGATTTGCAGAGTAATTCATCTGCCTTGCGTTCATGATGGAAGGGTTTAGACGCAACACGGAAAACACCTAACAACGAGTGCTGCATCTGACTCTAGAGTCCTCTCCCCTCCTTCCACTCTGTGGGGATTCGTACATTTCATTAACCCTTTTCAGCAGGACTCCCCACCCTACTTATATGCTGCAGTTTTTTAATGCAGGTTTATTCCACGGCTCACCACTTTCGATGAGCAGCAGGGGACAGTGTTTGTGGGATGTGCTCAGAACATATGGCAGCAACCAAGCTATTAAGCTCAGTTGACCACCCCGGTCATTGGATTTCTATTTCTCACTTAACCCTGCAGCCCTGGAGTTTATCAAGATGCTTTGTATTAAAACTGCATTTGCAGCAGAGTAGAATGTGTGTATCATTGAGGTGGTATTTGTAACTGCCATGTGTGAGGGTTTGTCAGTGTGAGCTGAATAAGGATATGTATGAGCGCGTCTCAGGCGTGTGAAGGGAGTGTTTGGTTGCTAGTGTTGTGCCAGACACTAAAAGTGATCCAGCTGTGTGAGCCAGATGTGCAGTAAGTTACACGCTCACACAAGCTCTGCATCTCCAAGCTTTATTACTTGCCCCAAGCAAGAAGATGTTCCTGGATTGGTGGATCTCTGTCAGAAGTAATTGTGGACAGCGTACACGCACTCGCTTCCTTGGCCAGTCTTCCTAGGCTCTTTAAAGAGATATGACAGGCTGTGTGGTGTTGGTTCCTTATGACAAACAGTTCTACTAGGAATGGCTTACTACCACCTTTCTTATGTCATTTCACTGCTTGCCTGAGATGAAATGGGGAAAACTTGGTTGGTTAGGAGCCAGGGCTGCCACTTGGGGATGGGATGGTAAAAAGCATCCTTTTCAGTGATCTTAAGTCTCTGCGTGATCTGGGGTGAAATTTCATCCTCACAGCATTACAGCAAGGACCTATTTGTTGGTTTTCCCCCACTGTCTCCTCCCCAATTCTGCATGAAGGGTCTCATTTTAAGAGATCCTTCCATTGCCTGTGGCCTTGTCTGCACTAAATGCTCTCACCATAATACTCTTTCTGGTGCAGCTCCATCAATGATAGCAAGAGTGGAAGAGTTACCCAAACCTTGTGCTGGCTCCCTGCACAGGGCTGAACTTAACCCTTAGTCATTTTTCTAATGCCCATCACATCATCAGCTGAACACAAAATGGGCCAAGTTCATCCCTGGTCTAACTCCATTGGGTGAATGATGCTCAGTTACAGCAGAGAAGTCCAGTCAGGTCACCAGAAGTACTCCCAATTTACACCAGTCTCCAAAGCTGATTCCTGAGTACCACTGAGGCAGTACTGTGTGCCCTTGACTCCCAGTGACTTCACGGAGAGATTTGGCTCCTAAACACCTCCCAGAAGATGCTCAGTTGCTTGGAGGATCAGGACCTCTCTGACGGCAGAATCTAGCCCACTATTCTCAAGTGTTTCCAAGCACACAAGAAAAAAAAATCTGATTTTGATTTATTGCTGAAAAATATAAAATTTGATCCAACTTCTGAATAAATGGCCAATTTCCAATTTGACCAAATGTTTAAAAAAAATACTCAATTTTGGTGTGATAATCGATATTGGAAATTTCAGTCCAAAGGGTAGTTGATTTCTGAAAGTTATATGTGCATCGAAAGAGCAGCTACAATCACATTTCCAGCAATAATTACAGTGCTGTATGTGTGATCCTGTAATATAAGCAGTTTACTCACACTCTGTTTTTGGCCTTCAGATATGTTATTGATAGCCTGCATTTGCAGCAATGCTTATGGATAAAGCCCCTCAAGCAGAACACTAACATGGCATCAAAACAAAGTTTATGTTCTATGCTATCTGGAAAAAAGAAAAGTAAAAGCTGTTTAGATTACAGTTAGAATTAGCATATGATTTATAACAGGAAGCATTGAGCTGAGCTCTTTGCTAGAAATGACTATGGATATATCCAGCGGTGTAAAGTAGCATATTAACGTAGTCCTGACAGTAAAATCATAATCATTATTATTATTTGTATTATGGCAGCACTTCAAGATCCCAAGGTGCTGTGCAGAGTAAGAGACAATCCCTGCTCCATAGAGTTTTTAATCTATTAGACCACGCAGACATAGGTTGGGAGGTGAAATGACTTCCCCAGGATCACACAACCAGTCATGGAATAAAACCTTCTCTAGTGTCCTATCCGCTGTACCACATTGCCTCTCAACCAGTTAATAAAGTAAGCCAATGAATGCAACAGACCAGAGTTTTCATTAGTATGTCTTGATTTGCATTGGCAGGTCGTCTTCCTCTCTAGTTAAACAAGGCCTTGGTGTCAGGTAGAGTGGGCAAACATGGACAGAGATAAACATATCAGGATCTGTTACAGAAGAACAAACTAGTCTTCTGCTAATATTTTGTGTGTATCTTTACAACACTACTGTGTATGTGTGTATACAGGTATATAGGGGTATGTGGTGTGTGTGTGTGTGCGCGCGCGCGCGCACAGGGATGGAGGGATGCTGCAAAATATACAGGCATGGCAGCAGATGGTGTCGCAAAATATATGCCTAGTGATAAGGAGAATCACAAGATGTTTATCCCAATGGTGACAGGGGCCATCGTGAAATATATATTTGCCCAGAAACGGGTGTAACAGATCACAAACAAGGCCTCAATGGGGAATATGAAAAGGAAGTTGTATTGATATACATATGGTGTTTATACATATAACTTATGTTCAAGAAAGTGGAGGAGGAGAGACTGCGTCAGACTGTTGCTTTAACCTCCTCCCCTGGGTCTTCACATGCACTTCAGTTTGCAGTTAAGTGCCATATGTTTTCCTGCTTAGTTGGCATTAAAATTTATATAGCAGTGCGAGTTACCTGGAGTGTCTCTGAGCCCATCTCTCTTCTGCTCCCCTTGCCTTGAATTAAATTGAAGTTACTGGGATCTATGGTTTCTAACTATAATGTTTTCAAATATGTATTGCATATACTCCTTTTGAAACCCAGATACATAGGGGGCTGGTTCTGATAGAGTGACAAAGCCAATTCACATCTGTTGTAACTGCATTGGGTTTTGTCCTGGAATTAATTTAGCCATTCTCATTCTGGGTGCCTTACTTTTGCCTGTCCATCAAAATTCACTCAGATTTGCAAAGCCTCATGCTCCCTATGAATAAGGGCAATAGGAGGCCACAAAGATGAAGTCGGAAGTTTACTTAGTTTTTGTTTTTGTTGTCCTCTGATATGAGAAACGCTAGTGTGATTTTCAGCTAAATCTGATACAAAAGCATTCGCTCCATGCTTTAAGGTGCATCTCACATGTCTGGTTTTTTTTGGTAAGTAATAGTAACTAATAAAGGTACATTTCACCTCTGCCCAGAAAACAACTATTTCAAAAGAATCTGTGTCACCAATATACTATATTATTTTCACAGTGGCGCCTAGAAGCCCCAGATATGGACAAGAGCTCTTTTGTGCTAGGCACTGTACAAACTGTAGCAAAGGGGATACATTTAGTCCTGGCTATTGTCGTGGAAAAAGTCACCCATGCATTATTTTTGATCAAAGACTCAGACTGAGGCCTGTTTATTGGATACACACCAACGCGTTGGGGGCAGCTGCTCCCCCCAAAGCAAAGCATACAGGAGCTTTTAAAGCTTAAAACCACAAACAAATTACACATACTTGAGTAATAATGACCTTATTTGGAATTAACACAGGTTAAGAGTTAGGGTCTTTTCGGTACTTTCCAGCACCCTTTTGCAACCTTGCC